CCTTTCCTTTTTTTTTTTTTTTTTTTTTTTTTTTTGTCTTTTTTACTGACTGGTAACTGGATCGCAACCCTCGGTGTTGCGCCCGCACCGTGCTCAGCCAGTGAGCGGGAACCGGTCTCCACATGGGATCCGAACCCTCGGCGGGAGCGCCGCCACGCTCACAAGCGGCGCACCCTCCAGTGTGCCACCGGGCCGGCCCTAGGTCACTTTCTTAGTAGATAAAAATTATTTAAAGATTTTAAGAGTGCCCTCAGGTGGTACAAGCCATGAATTGCGTCTCATTTGTCACTGCATGTTAGATATATAGAAATAATTCACTTAAAAAAACAAACCAGGGTTTCAAACAGTATATATAGTCAGGGATGAACTCAATTTTGTCTTGGTTTTATTTGCTGTTTTTTTTTGGGGGGGGGTGGCTGGCCGGCATGGGGATCTGAACCTGTGACCTTGGTGTTACAAGGCTGAGCTCTAGCCAACTGAGCTAACCGGCCAGCCCCTTGCCAACTGAGCTAACCGGCCAGCGGTGTTACAAGGCTGAGCTCTAGCCAACTGAGCTAACCGGCCAGCCCCTTATCTTGGTTTTAAAAAGAGAAAAAGAAATATACTAATGTATGGTTATTTCTTTGAAAAGATGGATTTTTATAATCAGAAAATAAATGTTATATGTAAAAACAATACATATATGATCTTGCCTATGTTGTGTATTTAGTAATGATTTTAAAGATATAAATGTGCTGTAAACAAAGTTTATATATTTTAAGTGGAAGGAGTTATAGTCAGATGAGAATTTGATATTTTGTTAAAGGTTTAGAATTTCAAAACCTCTTATAAATACGTTAAATTATATTTATACTTTGCCTTATTTTTAAAAGGGTTGCAGTATCTAGCTCATGTGTTAGCCTATTTCAAATATGAATTTCAGAGCAAAAAGATTTTGGGATCTTGCAGAAACTTTAAGTTGTTATGCTTATAGGTATTTATATTAGATCTTCTTTTGAGGACATTATTATCTGTAAATAACTTATACACAGTTCTCATATTTTATCTATTTTGAGAAAATAAATCACTGGAACTTCTGGTTTGTCTCTAAGTCCAGAAAATGTTGTAAGAAAGTCTGTATAGTCTTGTATGTAGATCATCTAATTCACTTGTACTTTTTCTTGCAGCTGTCAGTGTTTTATTGGCATTATGTTGTAGGTATAGAATTGCTTTTCATTCACTATAGTTTTACCATAGGGAAGAAACTAGAACTGTGGTTCTTACTATCTTATTAAATAGGTCAATTATGTAATAAGTAATTAAGAGACCGAAGGTTGGGTAGTATATGTATGACAATATTTGGCTTCCGCATGTCTGCAACAAACTAGCATTACTTTTATTTCTAAACCTTTAAAAGAGTATCCAGTGATAATAGGAATTAAATGTTACTGATGAGGAACTAAATGTTACTTCTTTAAAGTAGTCAGAATTATTGTTATTCAACTTGTCATTGTTTTTTTAAAAACTGAATGGCAAGGATTGTTCTTAATCAGTGAGTAGTCATATAGTTTGCTTTCAAAATGCAAATAAAAATAAATGTTTTCTTCTTCTGATCTTGATCTTTTGAAATTAGTGAGTCTTAATGTGGAGAGATTCAATTACATTCTCTGTCATAAAGTAATAAGCATTAAGATGTTCCATAGCATGTATAGAAAGTTTGGCAAATAGGAAAATCGCCCATCATTTGACTAGCTATACAAGCATTTTGGTGTGGCAAAAAAAAGAAAAAAGAAACCTAATAGGATTCTTCTTGGGTGATTTTGATACTTTATTCTCTTCTCTGTCACAACTTCAACCAGCGATACCATGGACTAAGGACAGAGATATAATGGTGGAGAATGTTGGCCCATCTTAGCTGTTGTCTCCTTGCATTGTGAACCAAGTTACTGGCAAAGAAGCTTTTGGTTCTATAGTTTTTACATCAGAGAAAACAAAGCATGTAAAATGGTTGTATTAGTCTGTTTCTGTTGCTTACAACAAAATACCTGAAACTGGATGATTTATAAAGAAAACAAAATTTATTGCTTACAGTTTTGGAGGCTGGGAAGTCCAAAGTCCAGGGAAGACACCTGGAGAGGGTCCTGGTGGTAGCGACAGTGACCCAGGGGTCTCATGTGGCAGAATATGGTGGAGCAGAGAGAGACTAACCTCTCGTGCTCTTCTTTTAAAGCCCTCAGAACCACGCCTCTGACCACCATTATTTATCCGTTGACTATGGCATGGTCCTACAATCCAATCACCTCTTCAAGGCCCCACCTTTCAATTACCGTAATACGATTTCCCACCCTCAACAGTTACAGTGGGATTACACTTCTAATATATGAACTTTGGGGACACAATTCAGTCAATCCACAGCAATGGCTATTGTTCTAAATAGTCTTATTTAGAAAAATGACTTTTCATAAAATATTGTAGTTAACAACTTATTTCTGATTATTGATGGCATTAATTGGTTTGGAACTGGAAGCATGGGAGGGGGTAGATAATAAGACTCAGGAATGTCGTTGGAAAGGGATTTAATTTTTTGTGCAATTTCCCAAAGTGTAGGATAGGTATATATCCTACCACAGTAGAATTATGTGGGTCCCTCATCTCCGTAAACAAAAATAATGTTGCCTCTCAACTTGATTATATTTTCCCCTGCCAGAGCTGTTTGCTTTGGGTTCACAGCCAATTCTGTGCTGAAACCATCTTCAGTCTTTCTGCCAAAACCAATTTGAAAAAGGTTAACTCGCATGTCCCTTCCCTAAACAAACAGTAGCCCAAAAAACTCTGATCAGAAGCAAAAGAACAAACATTCATAAAGGTAGAGCAACTACAAATATTAGTCTTGCCTATTTCTTAATGTTTTATCACTGTTTAAAACCATTTTCCCATGTTGAACATTTCTATTTTTGATTATTAGGTATTAATATCAATATTATCCATTGTCATGATTGGTTTATTTTTCTTCATGATTTTCAGACTTTTTGAAATTATGGAAATCTTTGTTCAAAATCTTTTACAAAAGCTTAGTGTGTAAATGGACTAAAAAACCTGTAGAGCTTCTCTGATTAATGTGGGAGTTGGGGGCCCACAGCCACTGAAGCACCTGTGTGGTTCTCCAGAGCAGGATTTGAAAATTACTAATTCTTTCTTGCCAAAACCAATAATTACCCCCCCCCCCAAGTTCCTTAAATCTTCAAACACATTTTTTAAATTAAGAAAAGACAGCTTTTCTTTGGGGCTAGTCATACTGACCTTTACAAGGTGCTCTGTGTGTGTGTTTAATATTTTCATTTTTTTATGACAAGGGTGGGTGGCAGGAATGTTTTCCTTTATTTTGTTTTTAACTTCGTGTGCAATTATCTAATATACTGGAAAGTACAGGAGGTGCTAAATACAGTGAGTTATATTTGGAATTAAAAAAAACCCCCACAAGTCACATGTTCTAACATTTTTTAAAGAGCTGAATTAGTCCTCTTCCTTTTATATCAGATGTTACAGTGTATCTTTTCCTTTCTCCAATGGAAATGGACTCAGTTTTAAACAAATGTATGATCCAGACCAATATTTTTAATTTCTGTAATATTTATGAAGTACATTTATAGATTTTTGTAGATAATAATTTTGGATTATATAAACTACAAAGTCAATCCTTTTGATGATTGGTGGAGGTATATTTGCACAATCTGTTATTTTGTAAGAGGTTTAAATCATTTGAAAATAAATAATTTTTAGAATCAATTTAAAGAAAATAATATGCATAGCCAGTAAGATTTTTCTGCTCCTTTTGTTCTAGATTAAACGTACCTTTCCAAAAGATAAACCTCAAATATTTTACTATTAACTAAAAGACTGCTTTTGCTGGATTTTATATTTTGTCTCTAGAAAATTAGAATATAGTCAAAGATATCCTTCTTATGGTTGAAGCTTTCTTAACATTTTATAGTAAATATTGAAATTCCATTAATTTTTTTCTTAATGGTAATTTGGCTTGACATAACTTCCAATATGAGCATTTGTGTGTGTTTTATCTCAGCATTTAAAAATCTTTTTACAATAGATTTTAGGGATTAATTGGATCTAAAATCTCAATAAATTTCTGGAAATACTTTGTTTATACTGGTAGTGTTATTTCTTGTCTTCCAGACTGCTGATATTAATGGGAGCATTATTAAACTTATATCACAAAAATATCACTAAATTAAACATGTTTTGAGCATACATATTGTGCTGGGCACTGGGAATAATATTATCGTGGTAATGCCTAACCATTCCCTTCCAGGATTTCACAGTTAGGCTGGAGCTACTAGAAACAAGGCCAGCGAAATTAGGATACAGTTTGTGAGTGAAGTGTGAAGAAAGGCCTTTGGAGTACCAAAGAAAATTCTAGGTTAGAGAAAGCTTT